TTCACTTCTCTTTCAATCTCTCAGCATATTTCCTGTAATTCTTCTCAGTACTCTTATCTCTGCCGTTTCCAGTAGCCTTTGAGTTGTGGCTACGTCCGGTCTTGTTTCTGAGGTATATGTCATTATTGGTCTTACACTAGCTTTATAAATTTTTGATTCCATTTAGTGTTAATGTGTCTATTTCGCCATAATATGTGTTGTACACTATATTATAGTGTTGTAAAGGCATCCCGCCAGTTTATTTGCTTTTTGTATTTGATCTCTCACTTCTTTGTCCAGGTCTCCATAGCTAGACAGTGTAATTCTCAGGTATTTTATTTCCATTACTTGTTCAATACTGATGCCATCAATTTCTATTAAACATCTGGTTGGTTCTTTGCTGACTACTATTGTTTTAGTTTTCTGAGATGAGATTGTCAAATTAATTTCTTTTGCTCTTATGTTAAACGTGTGGACCAGTCTTTGCAGACCATCTTCATCTTGGGCTATCAATATTGCGTCTTCTGCGTAACAGAGTATTTTGATTTCTTTGTTTCCCATTCTGTATCCTCTTCCTTTGTTAACGCTTTTGATTATTTAATCCATGATCAAATTGAAGAGCTTGGGGCTTAATGAATCTCCTTGTGTTATTCTGTTACCTATTTCTGTAAGTTGTCCATCTACTCTGACTTCCATTTCGTTGTTTAGGTAGATGTTTTCGATAGTTTTTATAATATTTAGGGGAGCTTCTCTATTATACAGAAGATGAATTACTGAGTCGTACTCTGTCAAACGCTTTCTTTAGATCAATAAGACACAGAAATGTTGGTCTATGGTACTCTAGTCATTTCTCAGTAATTTTAATCTCAGTCTTTTTTATAGTCAGTATAACTTCTGGATCGTTATTTATTTTGCGTATTACCTCTTTATTTGTAATATTAATGAATTTATAAAATCTGAGTCCGAACATGGACCCTTAAGAGTCTGAATAAGGGTCTGAAACAGTCATTTGAAATGTGTGTTTACCGGATAATTTTAAGAATTTCTTGGATCGCACGAAAAACAAATGAAGAAGTTCTAAGGAGACGAAATATAGAAAAGATAATAATAAAAAAAAAACAAAACAAAAACGAAAAAAAAAAGCAGTTACTTGCTTCATAATCTACGTAACAAAAACGATTACATTTGGTTAATCAAGGGTAAAATAGAGGGGAAGAAACACATTGTCTTGACTGCATAATATTAAAAACTGAACAGGGCTAAGTTTTGAAGAACTTATGCATACAGCTGAAGACAGATAAAGGTTTGCCACATAACCTTTAACCTCAAATCACCGAGGCGACATATGAAGAGGAGGAACTAACTACTGAGGATCATCTTCATCAGCTAGAGCTCTAGCTTAATTTATTTGATATTTTATTTCGCTTACTAAATAATGGTTTTGTGCAGCTATTTATTATACAATAAGTTGCATAAGAGATGAGAAATATAAAAAAGTCATACCCAGTAAGTTCAACTACTTTACAAATATATTACAATTAATTTGTTAAACAATTAGACGTGTCTAAATATATTAGATACTAGATCGAACAGAATAAGAAAGAAAAGTTATGCAGTTAAACATCTAAAGGTAATTGTTCAAAAAGTGTTTAATAGAAATAGAATTTCAATCAAATGATTAATTTTACTATAGCAAAACGGTAATAAATTATGCCACACTTTTTATTTACTATTATTTTTAATTTATTTAATTTAAAATGTTCCAATTTAGTGTTTAAGTCAGTGAAAAAACCATCTCAGTTTTTAAATCAACTCTCCCAGGTCAACTCATGGTAAAATATGTATCGATAACATATAAATTATATACAGGATATGAATAAACGTGGTTTTATAACTTTTTATATACAACAAAGATCATTAACTAAAGCACATCCTCTACTTCCGCCTTAATTTAGCACATTCTAAAGATATACTCGGTGGCCGGAAAGTCCCTTTACAATAATAATAGTAATGTTTCAATAACGCGCTAATGTTTTTTGGTTTTCCGGCACATGTGCTCATCGTCAAGAGCATCTGTTTGGTCACGCAGACAGATTACCATTCCGTTAGTTGCGATAGAGACGTGATGGCGGACACTAGGGACCAAGGGAGTTTACAATCGAAGAGCATTTGGTCGCTGCAGTATGGGTACACGAACTTCGTCAAAACAATAAAGCAGTGGACGACATTATGAATGACTTTATTGTTCATTTTGAAAAACTATCACCATCCAGACCAACTATGCTGTCGTGAGACAAGGTTTTTCATTGGGAATCGTTCTGGATATACCAATAAGTAGAAGACCAAGCACTCGAGCTGAAACTTGTGCCGGCATTGAGGAATGCATTGAACCTGAACCGATAAAGTCGACGCGGAAAAGCTCTGCTGAGTTTGCTATTTCAAGGTCAACAATGCAAGATTATATGAGAAAGGATTTAAAAGTGAAGGCCTTCCAGCCAGTATCTGATAATGAGTTAAGTGATAATGACATGGGCCGCCGAGTGCAAGCGTGCTAATTACTGCTTCAAAGCTTCAAGAAAGCATGTGACAAACAAAATGTTCTGCTCACAGATGAGTGTATAATTTAGCACAACTCGGAATCGAAATGTTAATTTTTGGACATAGTGCAAAGGAAGTCCAAAACAAATGAAAACCTCATGCCAAGATATGGGCCATATTTTCCCAGAAATATCTTCCCAGACCGATGGATTGGAAGAGGTTCTCCAAACTGTCCTGCACCAATGTTTTGGTCCCTAAGAAGTCCAGATTTGACAACGTTGGACAATGCACTGTGAGATTTCTTTAAAGAGGAGGTTAGAAAACGCAAATATGTTTTTGAATGAAGTCTTTCGAAACGGAGATCGCCAAGATTTTATGTCAGTGACTCCAGACATGCTGAGTCAGATGAACATAAGAACATAGCGTCTTATTAAATTGTGTCCCGACAATGGAGATATGCACCAATATTTTAGATAAATAAATAATAAATCAATAACTCACGTCAGAGTCACGGTGAAATTAGATCCAAAATTGAGCAGCCCTGAGCCTATTTTAGAAGGGTGTCCAAGGTATTATGTAACAGAGATCTAAAATTGGCATTTCGGATCCGCCTACTTGGCTGATACGTGTTCTTGGTCTTACTTTATGATGTCGAGTCTTGGACTGGAAATACAAGTGATCTAAATCGCCTTGACATTTTCGAAATGTGGTTCTATAGAAGAATTTTAAAAGTTTCTTGGGCGGAGAAGATTCAAAATTTCATAATACTAGAACGTCTCAGCAAGACTACCAAGATTATAAAAAGCATCAAGAAGAGAAAGCTGGAGTACTTCTGACATGTAATGAGAGGTCCCAAATATAGATTGCTACAATATATTATACAAGGGAAAATAGTAGGTAAACTCAGTCTAGGACGAAGAAAGACTTTATGGTTGAAAAACTCGATTGATATGGTATTGATATAAGCATGCTGTTTAGGGTGAGTGAATAAAATTATGATAGTTTTTATGGTAACCAACGTTCTGAAAGGACATAGTACATGAAGAAGAAGAATAACTCATAAACAAAATTCTATTCATAAAACAATTCATTTCAAGAGACTATCCGGCAACCCTGATCAAATTCTTAGTAGATAAACGCCTGCACATTATGCAACAGATGAGAGAGAGAGAGAGAGAGAGAGAGAGAGAGAGAGAAAGAGAATGCAACTTGAGTTTAAAACAATTGAGACAACAAATAAAAAAGACCAATTTAATGACTGTTCGTGTGATCTTCTGACATTAGGGTTTCAAGACGAGCAAGCGTCCTTTATGACTTAACGACCACTTAAGTAACTACAGTCGACCAATTTACGTGCTCTTCCAAGTAGAAAATTATACAAATTTGTATTTCATTAATTTTCTGGGTTTTACAGAGCTCCGAAATTGGCCGGGTTTATGGTTACTCGTAATATTATAATAAAAAATGAACCATTAGACTAGTTTTCTATTAAATATACTTTTTTATTCATATCGTTTTAAATCAATTTATTATTGTCTCAACATTCTGATGTTAGTAATGATTTATTATCGACCCATTCCGCCACCACAAAACTTACCCCATCTCGTGCGCTTGCATCCCACGAAAAATAGGACAGAGATAAAGTTTATTAAGAGCATCGTACCAATGTTATTCCACGATAAATTTCTTGGTAATACAAATAATAAAACAAACTTAATAGACCGTCTCAAACCTGCTTTATCAGAAGTGGGTTTTAGAGTTGACCAGGCTGAATCTGATGCAGGTACAGTCATCATCCGTTCTGCGCTTACTGCATTCCTAGCTGTCATCGTCCTCGCAGAGAACATTCTTGTCTTGCTCACGGCATTAGGATAGGAGCAATCCAATATTGTTTGTCCAAAGTGTTCAAGTTTTTTAAACCTTCATAGGAGTGTAAGTCGCATTAATTATACTGCCCATAATTGAAAAATTGAGGCTAACCATCAACTACCTATACACCAAGATAAACTTGATATCGAAATAAACAGACTGCGCTCCAGATATCCTCCATTGCTAAGAGCCAACTCCTTACATCAGGAACATTTCAATCTGACCAAAGCTTGGAGAACACAATGGGAGAGTGACTCACCACAGGAAGCACATCAAATGGCCTGTATCGATCAGAAACCGCCAGGCTTTGAACTGACCCGCAATACATGGACAGCGCTAAACAGAATAAGAACTTTGCTCCAATTTTTGCAAGATAACTTTTTAATTAAAAAAATTATAAAACCACGTGTACAACTTTTGTAGATAAAACTTTAATACTATTTTATGTAGACCTAACAACATTTTATAGACCAAATGAAAAATATTGTTTAAAAAGAATTATAATAGTTTACTAATAATACGAAAATTACATGACCTTTTTACGCTCTTAAAAATGGAATATAAAACTTTGTAAAGGTATACACTTTATCAAAAATATAATAGTTATATCTTACCATGCTTGTTTTCCATGTCATGAATCAAGGAACTTAATTCTTTCTCCCTCTCCTCATTTTTCGGAGCAGGAGGTGGCAAGGCCACTATTTCCCCACCTCTTGGAGTTCTTGGAGTGTTTGTTCTCTCTTCTGATAATGCAGCATTTAGAGTAATCTAAAACACCAATTTAATTTAAAGCAACTTTTCTGAGGACCATATAATATTAAGAAAGATATTGTATTCGTACCTCCTTTTCAAGAGAAGCAATCTGCTCCGACAATCTGATGTTCTCTCTTCTGCTGTGGATTAGATCAGCATCAGCTCTGTCCAATCTTTGTCGTAGAGACTGTATTTCCGCTTGTAGACGCACTATTTCCTGTTTCGATTGCCTGTCACTTCTTTCATTTGCAAGTTGAAGCGTAGCGATCTGTTGTTCCAAAGCACTTTTTTCCGCCCCACTTACGCCAATGTCAGATTGCAAGTTAACTGGAATACAACACATAATGAGAGACACATATAAGTTTTACCAATATCACATAAATATTATAAAAATGTTGTTATGACGTGATGAGTGGTGAATGTAGTGTGTTATGGGTTGCAAAATTAAGAAACTTTTTGGGATATTTACTTATTTTGCTTTGCATGTCCTTCCGGAGCTCGTCAATGAGTGCCTGTTTTTGAGCCACATCTCTGCGTAGATCTGCATTTTCTCTTCTCTGTTTATCCACTTCCATCTGCAGTTTGTTCGTAGTTTCCCATTGTATTCCCAACTCCGCCGTGAGTTGCTCGATTTGTTGAGTGTACCGTCTTTCTACTGCCGATCGTTCGTCTGCTATTCTTCTACCCTAAAATAAGTTCATTTTCGCGAATCTCATTTTAAGATAATTAGTCTTGCATAAGCTTTCTTACTGATAAATTTAAATAATAGTTATTACTTTTGACTGAAACAAGACCTCAATTCACGAACATCAGTACAACAACATATGAACTAGAATTCAGTGAAGACAATGAAATAACAGTACAGGAAGTCGAGAATGCAATACGAACTCTAAAAAATGGGAAGTCATGCGGACCACAAGGTATACCAAGTGAATTATTAAAACATAGCCCAAAAGTATTACGGGAATTACTGGCGTATGTCTTCACCTTATTCTATAATGGACACGACTTACCACCGAAGTGGACAAAAGCACATATTAACAACATATACAAAAAAGGAGATAGAAAGAATTGTTCAAACTATAGGGGGCTAAGTGTCATAAATTCACTCTCAAAAAATAAAATTGAAAAAGAGATGACAGATGTAGAAGAACAGAATGGCTTTCGTGCAGGCAGATCCTGCATGGACAGTATATTCTCTCTAAAGCAAGTTATCGAGAAAAGATTAGCCCACAACCTTTCAACTCATATAGTCTTTATAGATCTGACAAAGGCATACGATAGTGTACCACTTTCAATGCTTTGGGTAGCAATGGAAAAACAAGGAATAAGCAAAAAAAAATATACAAGCAGTAAAACAGCTCTACAAAAATATGACGGCAAACATTAAAACTGGAAATAGATTAACTAGAGAAATTTCTATTAGTAAGGGCCTACAGCAAGGCTGCTGCATAGCACCTACACTCTTCAAAATATATCTAAATGAGGCACTCTCACTGTGGAGAAGAAAGTGCTGCAATATGGGCATCCCAATCGGAGATGATAGATTGTACACGATACATTTCGCTGACGACCAAGCCATTCTAGCTGAAGACGAGAGTGATATAAGCTACATGCTTAGAAAACTGGAAGATGAGTACACCAAATGGGGCCTCAGAATTAATGTACAAAAAACTGAGTACTTAGTTGTAGGAGAAAAACCAGAAAGCCTACAAATCGAAATGGGAACTATAAAACCAACAGACAATTTTAAGTACTTGGGAGTCCAAATAATATCAAAAGCAGGAAGTAGCGAAGAAATACATTCCAGGATTGTCCAAGCAAGATCAGCCACCAGACAGCTACACGGACTATTATAAAATAAAAAAATAACAAAAGAAAATAAAAGAAGAATTTATAAAACAATAATAGAAAGTATTGGACTGTACGGCGCCGAACTCTGGGAAATAAACCAAAGAAACAAATCAAAAATTAAGGCCATGGAAATGAACTACTGGAGACGATGTTGCCAGCTCACTAGACTTGATAGGGTGAGAAACGAAGATATTCGGAGAGAAATGGAAATCGATCTAGACATAATAGACACAATCGAAGCCAAAAGACTTAACTGGTATGGACACCTTCAGAGAATGCCAGAAAATAGATGGCAAAAAAAAAAAATAGAAGAATGGACTCCGCCAACTAGGAGAAAACGACAGAAAAACGCTGAAAATTAGGATGCGAGAAGCGGCGCCAGCTGTAGAAGACTCGCTTGTTATATATATAGTTATTACTATTAATTTTTGCTTTCTGTGAGATTAGAAGTTTTGTAAGCGATTAATCACCTTCGGGAGCCGTAACACTTTGTCGTGATAAAGCTTTGAATTACAAAATTATCAGTATCATGCTTTATCAGAATCATGCTGAGCTATGCCGGGAGTGACACTCTATTTTCTAGCTTCTCATTGGAGAATAACATATCAGAAACAAATGAAAAAAAAAAAAACAATTAAGGAATAGTAACAATGTAAACTCACTCATTCATCTGGAAATTATGAAACTAATTACCGCTATAGGTCATACTTTTGAACAATAAAAGGAACTATTTAAAAGTTTCCAGGAACACTGCTATGAAGCTCAGGCTAGTACAGAAAAGCGAACTCAGTGTCCAGTGCGCTTATATGAGCAGTGCAGTGAGGAAAAGGTTTAATTACATATTGAAGTATGATCTTGAGTATGATCTTGACTCAAAATAGGCCCACTAGCAGGTGCTATTGTACGGGTAGCTAAAGACGCTGAAATGTCTCCGAAAATTACTGTTTATCTACAATACACAAGGCATTTAAGTCAGAAGGCAGAGGTTTCAATGCTGTAGCAAGACAAATGATGGCTTGGTGAAACTAAATCCCTTTTCCTTATATAATTTTCCACTCTTTTTATGCAAAATCTTTTACCTGTTCTGCAATGGCGTCTCTAAGTTTCATATGTTGTCGCTCCAGTTCATCTTTTAAGCGTCTGATCTCAGCTTCAGCTGCATTTTTTTCATATTGCGCTTGCTCAGCAACGTCCAGACTTCGTTTAACTTTATCTGTGGTATCAGTTTCTTTTTCTCTGAGAACGGACAATGAGTTTTGTAGCTTGTGAATGGTGTCTTGTAAATTTTCTTTTTCTCTAGAATTCATGGAAATAGATAATGCTAAATTTATGTTTATATAACAAAAAATTTAATTATAAGACAGGTTTATATACCTAGGATCTTACCTCTGAAAATTGTCAATTTGCTTCTTATAAGATTCATAACCCACTGTATCTAAAATAGTTCCATCATTAATTTTTCTTTTGTAAGATTCGTTTTCATCTTGGGCCTTCTTAAGATCTATCTTAGACTGAGTAAGTTGTGCCTCCAGTTCAGAGATCCTTGATTCAAACACAATAGATGGTCCTTCGATGATCCTGGTTTTTCTTGTATTTTTCGGAGATTTTAAAATCTACAAAAAACATTGAATTATTTTACAAAATTCAAATAGGAGAAATATTTATATGTTCAAGAAAGGATCACTACGAGTACTAACACTTTCATTTTAAGGTACGCTAATATCGTGTAGAAATAAATATTGTAAATGATGAAATTTACAATGTTTATTTCTATACAGAAAGATGAAAGCACTACTAAACAGTTTATCCTTAAGAATAAAAAATAAAAGCATCTTGTTAACGCAAAAGAAGTCGCAGAAAAGAGGAAATTTCTCAAAAATACATATATAAAGTGTAAAATTAAATTTACAAAGTCTCAAAAATGAATCGACAATATTCTTATATAAATTGAAGTAGTTCAGGAGGTTAAAAATTTTATGTTATTAATATTTTTTGTTTAATATAGATATAAATAGATTAATAGATCTTTAACCAAACAAATATACAATGAGATATACAGGGTGTTTCAAAAAAAGATAATTCCGTCTCTAGGGTAGGTAAAAAACTGAAAAATAATTGGGGTTTGCTTAGTAAAAAATTTTTGTAACGCCATCCGTTTTCAAGATACAGTGCGTTGAAGAAAAAAAAATTTACGTATTTTTTACGATTTTGCCGAAACTACTGGCAACATTGTAATGAAATTTTATACGAATATGTTTTGGAAGCTGATACATCCCAAGAATTTGTTTTTATATCTGATTCTTATAGAGGGCGCTAGTTACAGGGATCGTACTAAATGTTAGTCAATATAACTTTTTTAAGAATATAATTATTAATCAAAATGTCAAGTAAACTTAAACATCATTCAATTTTACACGAAAAAAGTACTCTTGGTAAAACTCGATACTGTGTATCGTTTTCGGAATATGTTGATTTGAAAATTGTGAAGTAATAATTGATGCTGGTAGTAATGATAAAGTTCTAATAGGTATGCCTTTATTTTCTCCAAGTGTGCCATGGAAATCTGACATTTATTGATTGTTATGACGATAAATCAACAATAATTAGAGTTTTGAAATCTTGTTATTTGTAAAATCAAATCAAAATGTACTCAAATGTTGAATACACTAACATGTTATTAACCTTAGGCGAATGTTTAGGATGTTCTAGTGCAGCTGTGACACGTTATGCAGAAAAGTTTCCTAGAAGAAACTTACCAAGTAAAAAAACATTTAGAGCCGTTAAACGACGTTGTCGAGAAACTGGGAATGTGAGACCAAATAAAATAAATTCTGGTAGACCAAGAACAACAAGAACAATTAATAAATAAAATAATATTTTAAATTTACTTGATCAAGATCCAACAGTTAGCGTAAGGAATATAGCAAGACAAACAAATACTTCTTCTTCAAGTACTTGGTGGATACTGAAAGAACAGCAATTACATCCTTATGATTACAGACAAGTCCAAGAGTTCTTGTCAGATGATCTACCGGTTAGAGTGGTTTTTTGTGAAACATTGCAACAAAGGACAGCCCACAATCCAAATTTTTTAAAATGCATCCTTTTTACGGACGAGGCCACCTTTACGCGACAAGGTATGTTTAACTCCCATAATGCACATGCACACTACTGGTGTGATGAGAATCGACGAGTCAAAAGGGTATCACATTACCAACACATTTAAAGTTAATGCTAGGGCAGCAACTTAAGGTAACAAATTAATAGGTTATCATATTCTACCTGGAAATTTAAATGGTGATATGTATCTTGATTTTTTAAACAACTCCTTATTCGAGATATTAGAAGATTTAACGCTAAACGAGCGAAGATCTTTATTTTTTATGCACGATGGAGCTTCACCACACTGATGTCGTAATTGGTTGAGTAATCATTTTCCGAATCGATGGATTGGTAGAGGTGCAGAAGCTCTTATTCATTGGCCTCCTCGGTCATGAGATTTGAACCTTTACT